GTTTATTAATTTAAAATGTTTGGTTTGGGTTGACCCAGTGTATTTTTTTCCTCTTTGCTGACATTTTCCATTTGACCATGAGCTGAAGTTCCTGGGTGGGTGTGAAGCTCTCATGGGCAGCAGTGGCATTCCCTCATGGTAACCTGTGTAAGGTTTCCACAGGTTTTTGGGAGCACCCCTGCTGAGGCTGTCCTCCCCCAGCTCAGATCTTCCATCCCTTGCTTCCCCGTCCTGTACCACCAGCTGCTGTTAGAGCAAACCCGAACTGAGGAGGCAAGAGAGGAGCCGATTTGAAGTCCTTTCATTTGCAAATTCATTGCTGTGTCATTGGTACATCTTTCGGAGCCCTGTAGCCAGCGTGGGATTTGGGAAGCTCTCTGTATTAGCTCGTCCCACACCCCGAGCCTCCTCATTCCCTATTCAGAGCTGCGGCGAGCCTTTGTGCTCCCAATGCCCAGCAGCCGCCGTTGCATCTCCGTTCATCGACAAAGAGGAACCTTATCTTCTGATGGACACATACAGCACGGGCTGTGTGACATTTAAATCTCCCTTTGTCGCCAGCTCGGATATTTGTGCTGTTAAAAGAAGACCGTGCAGCCGGGTGATTTCATTACTGCAAATGTTATTACAGTGAAAGCCTGCTTGAGACGTAATGTCACTGAAGGGAAAATATGATCTAGCAGCGAGTGTGGCCTGCTAAAGGGTGCTGGGATTCATCACAGGCTGAAAGAAACCTCTCCAACATCAGACCTGTTAATGGAACAGCTTTTTTCTTCATCAAATCAAACCAGCCACTTCCTCAAAGCCCTAAGGCTAGGAATTAAAAAGAAGATTGAAAGGAATTAGGCACCCAACTCTCGCTGGCTTTCTATTTGAGCTCCTAAGCTCTTCTCCCTGCTTTAGAAATCGTTGCCGGGCTGTTGGGGTGCTTAGTGCCACAGACACAGTGAATAGAAACTCATTGTGTTAAGAGTAGCTGCAGACCTCAAAAAGACACCGCTGCTGCATGTCGTGCTCACAGCGATTAGTTCTTGCTCCAAGAACACGAAGGAGAGAAATAATCACGGATGGGTCCTGGCCTCTCTGAAGTCAGCATGAATTTACCAGGGACCTGCCCCCAGCTCCCACCCTGATGCAGATAGAATTCCTTTTTTTTCCTCCAGAGCAGATTTCCCAAAGGCTTTTGGATTTGCAAGGGCAAGAGTGGAGCTCCTGGAGGCAGAGGTGGCGCAGTGAGGGCTGCAGCTCTGGGAGCGCACAGCTCGAGGTGCGCGGTGCAGAGGTGATGCTGGTTACAGAGCGCGGCCATCCCAGCACACCTGCCTTCAAGGTGCAGGTTTCCAGTGCTGATTGGCTCTATTTCAAAGATCTCTTTGCTATGCAAGATAGATGTGACCTTCATCTTGAAAGATTAGCCTTTAGAAAGCGCGAGTAGCTCAGGCTCTTTGCTAATGGGGATCGTGGCTGGCTCAGCCCTGGGTAGTTCTCTCCCTTCTGACATCTTTCCGAGCGTTTAAACACAACGAGGAGCAGGTCAACAGCAAACCTCCCACCAGCTTTAAGAAGGTTTGGACTGTGCCCCAGCCTGCTCTCCTAACAAGATGTGACAAGCTGAAGTGAGCAGTTAGACAGAAAGCATCACGATTTCACAGCAGACTTTGCCAGCAACTTGCTGGGCTTTTTGACTATTTTTTTTTTCTTAGTGATTTTTTTTTTCCCCTCTGTATGCTATAGCAACTCAGATCCATCCCAGGCTGCTTCTGACATTAACAAGACAGGGGATGACAGGCAGGATGCGTCCACGAGCAATTCAGAGTCTCCCCGCTAAGTAATCATAAACACTGCAAGTTTGCAACAAAGCCAGCAGCTGTCTCTCTCCCTCTGGACAAGCGCTGCTTCCTCGCAAATTGAGGCTCTGCAGGTTTTACAGCTGTCGGACAATGAGTCTGGTGCTGTTATTTCCTCTTCCTTTTTTTTTTTTTCCTTCTTCCTTTTTCTTTCTTTTAATGGAAAATATCTCAGCGTTGCCAGAACTCAAGTGGCCCCCTCCAGCAGTGAATCGATAGAGCCGAGTGATGAGGCTTTAACTCCTGGCTGGCGCTGCCGCAATGGGCACCGAGGAGTTGTGTTTCCTGCACATCCTCCCTTGCAAGGGTTTATTGCCTTCGATCACATTTCTTACAGGGAAGCAGGCGTCTGTTTTGGGGCTGGGAGAGGATTTTACAGCGCTCGAATGCTGTCCAAAAGGTGCTGAGACTGGAGAGGCTTGGGAGAGCCCCGGGAAGGCTGTAACCTCGAGCTTTGCAGTTTGCTTCCAGATTGCTGGAGCCCCAAAAGAAACCTTTATCCCTGCCCTAAACGCAGGCAAGGAGTGAAGATTATTACTTTATTGCTTTGATCAAGAGTTGGATCTACCTTGGACTGACTGGCTGCATGACCTTAGAAGCCTTTTGTGGATAAATTTTCAATGATTTTTTTTTTTGAGGCAGCCTGCAGCAGCCCCCATGGATGCAATGCTGCATCCGTGCAGCTAGGGAAGAGTGTGGTGGACTTACCTTCAGTGCCAGGAGAATCATGTTTGTCCAAATCCTATCCAGTATGCTGCTGTAATGCAGCTCTGCCATCCTGCACGACCCCTTTCAACAACGCCACCTTCCCACCTTGACCACTAATGTAAAGAAGTTTAATTTTCTGTGGTTATTCTGCAGCTCTCTCTGCCCTCTGTGCTCCCTCCGTCTGCCACCCTCCTCTGCGGCGGGTCTATCAAATGGCACACGTTGGATGAAATACATATTCTTTCTGTTTATGATTGAGTGTAATAAACTCTGGCGCCTCTGCCTTCCAGGTGGCTTTTGGACATGCAGCATTTAGTGCGTGAAGTGATTGATCTCTGATCTTTAAAACAGAGCTGTGAAGACCGCGGCGAATTTGCATGCGTGTGGAGTGTAAAGCCAGGAAATAGCAGCTCTGAAACTCTCTAACCCCTGCCCTTTATTTCCTTGGGCTGAGTTTTCCATGTTTGACAATGCGCGCGGTGGTGATTTATGTATAACCAGAGCAGCCTCCAGTGGTTGGAGCTGTGAACTTTTCCGAGCTGCCCTTTATTGCAGCTCGCTTGCGGGTTTTGCAGAGCCCCAAACCCCGATTCCTCCCTGCTCCGAGCTCTGGCTTGGTGAAAAGGGACAGCTGGGAGCAGCGGGTGCCCTGCTAATTCTGCTGGGAGCCGATTCCCATCCTAATGGAGCTGAAAGCAGCTGCTCTGTCCTCGCTGCTGCACGCAGCAGTTCCTGACACTAGATGAGACGTGGGGACGTGGTGGCTGCCTGTGCCAGCATCCCACCCCTGCTGTAACAGCAGCACCCTGCTGCAAGCAAGTCTGCCTGCTAGGGGATGTAGGAAATCCATGCTGGTGCTGTCCTTAAGCTGTCCAGCCCTACAGCACTCAGTGGTGGTGCCCGTGGCTGGGGAGAGCTGGTTCTTACCTCTCCTGGGTGCCCACAGCTGGGCTTTAGCTGCCCAGCACCAATGGCCCTGCTCAGTCAGGGGGCTCAGCATCATGGGGTGATGAAGCTCAGAGGAAAGCGGGGTTGCAGGATGTTTTGGGGGCTGGTTCTGCAGCTGGGTACATCCCTGGGGAGCAGCTTTGAGAGTCACCACTGGTAGGAGGGGAGGTTTCAACCCCCCAGCGGTGTTTGTGCCCCCTCCAAGCACGCAGACCCATTGCTTCGGGTCACCTCCTGCCTTCAAGGAGAGATGCTTCAGAAGGGAGAGGGGACACGCCGAGCCGATAAATGCTATCAGGGAGCAAGGAGTGAGTCGGTCTCTGCTACAACACCGATGTTTATGGAAAACAAGGAGAGGAGGCGAGTCAGGGAGGTCAGCTGCGTGTCTGAGAAACTTCCCTTATAAAAAGCCAGATTGCTGACACCTCTTGCTGCAGCTGCCCAGGCATTCCGAAGCGTCTGAGACTTCATTATCTAAGAAGCAGTCACTGGCTTTGCTGGGGACTTCTGGCTGCTTTACAAAGCAATTCCAGTATTATTATTGCAGTAAAAACATACCAACTACTAATCCTCCGTTTAAACGGCCAGTAAGTTCCCTGCGGGCAACTCTCTGCCAAAACGTTTATCCAGCTAATTTTATTCCGTGTTGTTTTCTTCTTACTCAGATTTAACCTTTTGTGACGAGGGTTGTAGGCACTTCTGTGTAGAAGCATGTTTTTCAGACTACTGGGACCGTAATTCCTTGGTGTGTGGCTGAGGGATGTGGAGGCATCCATACCCAGTGTACGGGACAGGGCAGCTTGCTGGTGGTGCTGGGTTCGTGCCCAGAGCTTCTGAGGTTGCATCTGAGACCATTACAGATCCAGACAAAAACAAGACAGAAAATGTTCCCGTTTAATTGAACAGGAGGGAGGCAGGGAGCGCCACAAACCTTGGGATGTGGTGTTTGGCCTGGAACAGCGTGTTTCGACTCTTCCTCAGATTGTTTTTCCCACCACACTCCTACTTTCTGATTTGAGTCAAACTTTTAAGTCGAATGCCAGCACTTCTAAGGGGATGGAGAATATTCCGCCTGGAAAATGCTTAAGTGAAATATTGCAGCGCTTCTGAAACGAATGGTGTCATTTAGAGAATGTCAAAACAAAAAGCTTCAATTTTTTGAACTTTTTATTTTTTTCTAGGGGGAAAAAAGGTATTCCCTGACTTTGACGTGAATTTGTGAATAGATACCACGTATCTCCACCCCCCCAGGCTTATTTTCTTAGCAAATGAAGAAAATGTCACCAAGCCCTGGCTCTGCCAAACCGACCCTAAGCGAGGGGGTTAGATGGGGTCGATTATAAAAAAGAAATGAGGGAGCATCCCCTGGAGAGAGCCACAGAGCTCCGATGTAGGTAACCATGTCATCAGCACCACTTTGTCGGCTTTTTCTCCTTCTCTGCATGCCTGTGGCTTTTGGTTTGCAGGAGGAGGAGTGAAAGCAAAGCTGGCAGCAGCGTTTCGGTGTGTTGTTGCTGCTGTTTTCATCCGCATAGTGATGGGCACCTCCGTGTGTGCCTGTGCATGCCTGCATGCGGTCTCCGACTCCGTGCCCGTCTCCCTCGTTCCTCCCTTAGCCACCCATGCACGGCGTGCTATAAACAAACCTGCCTCTGGACATGCCATGGCTTAAAATAGATGTTCATACATCAGCCGTTCTCCAGCGGCAGCGGCAGCAGCAGGAAGACATGGCCGACTGGATCTGCCTGCCACCCTCGCTCTGAGCAGGGGAAGCCTCAGCCCTCGCTAAGGTAGAGTACGGGGGGGGGCGTCTCCTTCCTCCCCGTGTCTGTCTGTCTGTCTCCCTGAGCCTGTGCTCGCTCGGCGATGCCTCTTGCTCTGCGCCCAGGCAGCTTCTGGCTGCTTTCCCCCCTCCCTCCGAGCCCTGCACGGCTGCCAGGGGGGCTCGGGGACAGCCAGGAGCCTGCTTGGGAGAGCTGGGAGCGAGCCCCCCCCCCGGGCTTGGCACCCACAGGGGGGATGCAGGGGATGCAGGTGGGGTTTGGGAGGGATTTGGGTGCTGGGGGGGCTGTTTGGAGGACATGGATGGGGGCAATTTCTCTTCCCTGCAGCACCTTGTGGGGCTGGCACAGCGGTGTGCTGGGGGGGGGGATGCTGGAGGCCAGCTCTGGGCCTGAGTTTTGTGAGCTCTATCCCTCCATAGGTGTGGGCTGCTGTTTTACCAGCCGGCTGTAGCAATCCGAGGGGCTGTCTGGCTCTTTACAGCCTCGTGCTGGGGGTGTGGGGTTTTTTCAGACCCCTCTGCTGCCCCTTCCCTAACGCTGCCCAGGACTGGTGGCGCGTGGCTGTGCTGCAGCCAAGGTCACCCAAGGTTTAAGGGCCCGGCACGCGGCCGTGCCAAATGCCATTTCCAGGTGGGTTTTGCCAAGTCGGGATGCCCAGCGAGAAGGAATCCAAAATTCATCAGGGCAGAGGGGGTGGCCCGTGCTCTGTGCTGGGGGCGAGCAGCATGGGCAGCACCCCAGGGTGCCAGGCAGGGTCTGAGCTGCTCCCCCCGCAGAACAGGGAGCGGGGAGGGAGACGTGCAGTGTCTCCAGTCTCCCCCTGAGCTGCCTCATGCCCTTGCAATGTTTTCCTCCTCCGTGCCTTGCCAAGAAATGGCCGGAGGCTGCTTCCTTCTGCACTGTTGGCTGCTGGCCGGCGCCTTGGGCGAGATGTCCGAGCAGGCAGGCTGAGGGCAGCCAGCCCGGCACAAGGGTGCCAGCGCTGGGTGGCTGAGGTGGGACACATTTTGGACACCTCCCAGCCCCTCCAGGGCAGGAAGGGAAACGATCTGCTCATGTAGGGGGGCTCTGCAAGCTGGAGGGGCAGCAGCCAGCGAGCAAAACCAGGGGGCTCTGCCTGCTGCCTGGCTGCGGGGACTGTCACTGCTCCGAGGCTGGCCAGGGAGGTGTCCTGACAAATATCGGCATCATCTAAAGGGCTGAGAGCAGAGCCATGTCCCAGAGGCTCTGCAAAACGAGCTTTTGCATCCCCTGAAATTAACTCTTACCCACCCCAAACCTGTCCTGGGTGTTCAAATGCAGCAGCAGGGCTGCTGTGCTCGGAGGGGTTAACGCTGCCTCTCCCTCCCCGCAGGCTTTTGTGCCTGGTCCGCAGGAGTCTGGGCCCCAGCCAGACCCCGCGTGGTGCCATATGGAATCCTCCACCTGTTTGGGGCTTTTCCTCCCCGATCCTGGTGGCTTGCCCGGAGCTGGCCGCCTTCCGCTGCTTCTGATCACAGGTTGGCAGCGTCAGTTCTCGAGCTGGCATTGTCCCGCTGGCAGGCAAAACCCCCGAGCCAGCTCAGGAGGGAAGGTGGTCCTGTACAGAGCATCTCCTGCCAATGTGGCCTCAACCCAACTCGTGGGGCTGGAGCAAAACCTCAGCCCGTGGAGACTCAGCAATCTGGCTGCCTCTCCAGCTTCCCTGGCACCGCAAGCTGCTCCCCAGCAGCATCCCTTCTTGGAAGGGAGCGCAGGTGAGCGTGTCTCACAGCGGGAGCTGCTGGGAAGCTGGCTCGACACAGCCCTCTCACCATGAAGGTCAGGTTTTTGGCTGCTTCGGGCCAGCATTTCTACAAAAGGGCTGGAGCGAGAGGTCCCCGGCTCTTCTAACAACATCTCCTCTGCTTCTGTGCCAGGACCGTGGGTGGCAGCAGCAGCAGAAGAGACCTCCAGGCCCCCCGCCGGCCTTCACGACCCCACAGGTATGCCTTGTGGGTCTCGGCAGCTCCCATGGCTTTCCTGTCCAGGTTCTCCAGGAACGGCACCAGGTCGCCGAGCCGGGGCTCGCGGGAAGAGCGCAGCAACCACCCCATCCTCAGCGTCTTCGAGCTGGAAAGGCTGCTGTACACGGGGAAGACAGCCTGCAACCACGCCGACGAGGTCTGGCCAGGCCTCTACCTGGGCGATCAGTATGTATTGGAGGGGGACAAGAACGGGGGGCTGAGGGGTGTTTGAAATGCGGAGGGCCGGGAGAGGAAAGCTGGAAGTGTGAGGGAGAGGAGGATGTGATGGGTTGGAGGAGGAGGGATGTGAGCACAGCTGTGCTGAGAGATTGGAGAGCTGCTGTGGGAGGAGGTGGTGTGCCCATGGAGTCCGTGAGATTGACTTAAAATTCTGGCCTCTGAGCCTGGCATCTTTCCTTTGCCTCTGATGAAAATGGACAGCCCTTACACCGTCCTTGGGATTTTTTTTTTTTTTAGTGTTGGACGTTTCTAAACTCACACACCTCTGCTCCTCCCCGCAGAGATATAGCAGCCAACCGCCGCGAGCTGGCCCACCTGCGCATCACCCACATCCTCAACGCCTCGCACAGCAAGTGGAGGGGGGGCGCCGAGTACTACGAGGGCACGGGCATCCGCTACCTGGGCATCGAGGCCCACGACTCGCCTTCCTTCGACATGAGCCCCTACTTCTACCCTGCCGCTGACTTCATCCACCAGGCGCTGAATGAAGGTCAGCGGTAAAGATTGGCGGGGCGAATTGGGGAGGGGAGAAGCTCCCTTTGGTGGGTGGAAAGCTGGATCAACATCCTATTGCTAAGCATTGTAGAAAATGGGGGTATTTCTAGATTGGTGTGGTGTCTTCTGCTCTGGACTGCCTGCTCCAAAGAGGAGTTGGGCTAGATTACATTACTGGCCCCATAAATCTCAGCCTGTGACCTGTTCAGACTGTTTGGGGATATCCTGATGCACTGACACCCTTTCCCAAGGGGAGGACCTCAGTGCATCACGTCCCTATTAAATTTGGGGCCCTACATCTAACCCTGGAGGCTGTACACCTGCAGTGCCAGGCTGCACCATGACAAACGGTTGGGTCCTCTGTAATTTATTTATTTTTTAATTGGGATATTTGGTCTGCTGTGACACAGCCCCTGTGTTTTGCCCCCTCCCCAGGAAGGATCCTTGTGCACTGTGCTGTCGGGGTGAGCAGGTCGGCCACCTTGGTCCTCGCCTACCTCATGATCCGCCACCACATGCCCCTGGTAGAAGCCATAAAGACGGTGAAGGACCACCGCGGTATCATCCCTAACCGGGGCTTCTTGCGCCAGCTGGTCGCCCTGGACAATGCCCTGAGGCTGAAGAGGAGTTCATGAAGGAGGATGAGAAGGGGTGTGCGGTGCTCCCCTTTCCCCCGTGCCCGCTGAGTGATAGGGGTAGGCCTTTCCTCCCAGTGCAGATGCTTGGCAGCTAAATAGGGTCCCGTGCAACCGGCCCCCCCCTCTCAGCTGAGGGGGTCCCCAGACATGCGAGCTATTCCTAGTGGTAAAGTCTAGGCCCTCAACCTGCAACCTCAGCACCTCGGTAGGCCTGATGTATCGCCTCCTTCCCAGCCTGCTCGCTCCGAGATGCCTCTGGAGGGACGCAGCCCCACGTTTCAGGTTTCTCCCTACCCCGTTTGGCTCCAGGAAGCCTTCAAGGGTTGGCTCTCCCACGTGGCAGACGCATTTGCCAAGCCGGTCCCGTCCCTCCCTCCCAGGAGACTGAAGCTGTGTGTGTTCCTCGTCTCGTTTCCCATTTGTTTTCGGTCTGTGTAGCAATGTGAAGTCGGTCTGGTGTGTGGGCTCTGGCAAACGGGCCTTTTGTCATCGTGTTTGGATGTCCTCCACGCCTAGTGTTAACCTGTGAAAATAAAGACAGCGCTAAGGAAGAAGCCTGGCCGTCCCTCGAGTGCTTTGGGACAGACTTTTTGTTCGGGCCAGGATCTGGCTTGGTGGAAAAGCCTTGCCCTGGGTGGCACCCTATGGCGCCCACCCTATGGCCCCCACCCCTCGGGGTCTCCTGCAGGCTCCCCGGCATGGCTGGGGGGTGCTGACGGTGTCCAAAATCTCCTGCACGAGGCTGAGAGACACTGGGAGCTTCAGCAAGGCTCCCAAAAGGGCTGGTGAACAGGGCCACAGGCTGCTTTGGGGTGGAAGAGCCCTTAAAGATCATCTCATCCCAACCCCCTGCCTGAGCCCAGCTCACCCAAAGCCCACCCAGCCTGACCTTGGGCACTGCCAGGCATGGGGGGGGCACCCCCAGCTCTTTGGGGCAGCCTTGTAGAGCACCTCACCTGTCCTCAGAGTGAAAAATTTCTTCCATAAATCCATCCCAAATCCCTGCTATTTTAGTTCAAAGCCTTTACCCAGGTCCCAACCCTGCGCCCCAAAACAGAGACCCTCCCCAGCTTCCCTGGAGCTTTCCCTTTTGGGGGCCACACACCCCCAGGGGAAGCTGTTTGGGACCAAGGGGGGTTTATAGGGCCGGGGGGGGGCTCTATGGGACCAGGGGGAGCTCTATAGGGCCGGGCTCCCCACACTGCATGCGACATGCAGCCCCCTCCCCATGCCTGGGGGGGGTCCCGGAGCCCTTCCCCGGTCCCCCCTTTAACTCGGGGGCGGCCCCGGGCCTTGGGGGCTCGGCTTGGGGCGGGGTTTGGGGCCCGGCCCCGTTCCCCGGCTCCCGGCCCGGCCCCGCTCCCGGCCATGGCCCCGAGCCGCGCACGGCGGAGCCGGCCCGGCCCCGCGGAGCCGCTCCCGGATGCCCCCGTTCCAGTGGTGCCACGGTGAGAAAAGGGGTTTTTTGGGGGGTCAGGAGGGGGTTTGGGGGGTCCTGGGGGGGCTGCGAGGGGTTTAGGGGCGCCAGGAGGGGGTTGGGATAGGGTAGGAGGAGTTTGGGGGGGGTACAAGGGGGCTGGAGGGGAAGGAGGGGGTTTGGGGTCAGGAGGGGTTTGGGGGGGTTAAGGGGGAGGCAGGAGGAGTTTGGGGGGTACAAGGGGGTTGGAGGGGGAAGGAGGGGTTTGGGGGTCAGGAGGGGTTTGTGGGGGCTGAGAGGGAGTTTAGGGGTGCCAGGAGGGGTCTGGGGGGGGCAAGAGGAGTTTGGGGGGGCACAAGGGGTTTGGAGGGGGCAGGAGGGGGCTTTGGGGTCAGGAGGGGTTTGTGGGGTCAGGGGGCTGCTGCTCCTCCTGGGAGTTCTGGGGGAAGCAATGCCGGGGAGCAGGCAGCCCCCCACATCCACCCCAATAAGTTTTGCCCCCCAGGCAAGGGGTGCCGTGCTCTTTGGGGTCACCCCCCTGGTGTCACCCCCCCTGGGGCAGGGGGAAGCGCTGCTGAGGACCCTGGCAAGAACGGGGGCCGGTGGTTTCAGTCCGATACCCAGTAAAGAAATGAAGTTTTCGCCTCGTCCCAATTGCAGCTCCTCTTTCACATCACGGCTCCTCCTGTTGCTCAGCCGTAGTTTGGGGCATTTTGCAGGTAATTTGGGACCTGGCTACCCCCGCTGCGAGCTGCCTGGCACAGGGGAGCCTTTTGGAGGAAGCCCCTTCCCGCATCACAGCAAACGTGACCTGGAAGCTGCAGTCAATTTTGTGATGCGAAGCCCACGGCTTTTGTGTGGGAGGGGAAAGAATGGGTTTTATTTCATGACCTGCTGAGTTTTCCATTCCTTGTGTTGAAGAAGAATTGGGGTGAGGGAGAAGCTCGGCTCAGCAAAAACCCAAAAACCCAGTGCCCGTGCAGAGCTCGTGTCTGTCCCGGTTTAAAATCCTGCCTGGAGCTGAGGGGTCGCGGTGGTTAAAGGTGTGCTGTTCGACCCCAAATGCTACAGGGCGCCCTGACTTCAGCCCGGCACTTTGCAGGGCACAGAGCTGGATGTGGGGGGCATTTTTTTGGACCATGCATCCATTTTTTGGTCGTTTGGTGGCAGAAATTATCCCCGGGGCTCTCAGAGGCTCAGCTCAGCACCGAAATCCACCAGGCAGCCTGAACCTGCTGGGGTTGGAGGTGGCGCAACCCCAGTGCCCCGACAGGTCGGGCTGCACCTTTCCTGCTTACACAGGGGAGTTTTTGGGGTTGGCATGAGAAAACGCTCCGCTGGCAGGGCACACCGCCTTCCCGAGCAGCCCTCGGGTAGCGAGAAGGGTGAGAAAGACATCGTGTGTCTGCAGCCCTTCTGCAGATGTCCTCTTTTCTCCTTTTTTTCACCTAAATAATTGTTGGAGCAGCTTTCAAGGCTCCTGGCTCCAGGTGCAAAACCGTCCCCGGGTGGACTGAGGCTGGTGACGGGGTTGTTTCGGTTTGGGTTTGGTGCCCCTCAGGCCTTCATTGTATTAAAACCAGCTGCCTTCTGTTCCTCCCGAGCTAAAAATATGGAAAGCCTTTGTCAGGAGAAGGGGGTTGTGCTAATTAAAACCACAGCCGAGCCAGCGCCCAGCCTGCTGCTGGGGGAAGCTGGAAGGGGCCGGCCAGGGTTGGGGAGGCCCCGGATTTGGGGAGGGGGTCGCATCTCCCCCCTGGGACCTGGCAGCAGCTTCGCCTCCCAGCCCATGGCTCTGCCTGAAGCTCGTGGGGGCTGGAAAGCTTCTTTAGCAGGAATGAGCCCGGCTGAGCTGGCGAGCCTAAAATTAGCCTTGCCAGCTGTGCTGTGGCTGGCGGGGACGTGTTGGACCGGCTCCTCTTCGGTACAGGGCCGGGACTTGGGGCTTCTCCTCTTCCACCTCGCCTTTTCCCCCTGCTGCTGCTTCTGCTGCCCCTCGGGTGCCCGTGCAAGGGATTTTTAATGTCCCATCGACAGCTGCTGCCAGCCCGTGTCCCCCCACCACACACCAGCATTACCTCATTGACTTGTTTGGTTTTTGGTTTTTGTTTTGTTTTGTTTTTCTCATTCTATTTTCCGAGCATTTCTCAATCATTTCCAGTAGGGAAATGGAAAAAAAAAAAAAGAAAAAAAGAAAAAAGAAAAAAAAACAGCTTTCTTATTGTCCTTCCCTGCACCTGGTGGTCTCGAGAGCAGGAGGCAGGGAGAGCAGGACCCAACAAACAAATCCTCCCTTTCCCTGCTGTGTGGGTGAGGAGGCAGAGGTGGCGTGGCCAGCAAAAAAAAACCCTGTTTCCTACAGCCCAGACGCCTCTCTCCAGCCAGGCAGGGTTTGGCCAGCACACCACGTGTAAACTCTGAGTAAATTCAGCGTGCACGAGGACGCAGACACCCGGCAGAAGCCCAGCTGGGAGCACCACGAGGCTGGGGGCATCGGTGTGCGCCCTGCTGCTCCCCAGGGACCTCACCACTCGTGCAGAGCTTTCTAACGCCATGCCCTGCCTGTCTCTGCTGTCCCGGTGCAAAGCAGTTTTCCTCCTCTCCTGAGAAGCAGGCGGAGGATTTTAGCGGGCTGTAATTAAACCCAGAAGTGTTTCTGGAGGAGCTTTTTGATGAGCTGGCCCGGCACCCTCTGTTCCTGCTCTGCGCATCGCGGGCAGATGCTCCGCAGAGCACAGCCGGGGCCTCCGCTCTGCTTTGAAGTCCCGTGTGAGCCCGATCTGCTGGGAAATCAAAGCTCTTGTGGGGTCAGCACGGTTTCGAGACAAGCAGCAGCGCTCACCCGCTGCCAGACCCCGACTTTGCATCAGCCAGCAGTGGGTTTGGTGTCACCTCGCTGGGTGGGCACCCTGCTGCCCTCCCCGTGCTGCCACCACCCCGTGCGGTGCCCTCCTGCCCCGTTCGGTCTCTGTGCCACCCAGCACAGCCCCGGGGCTGCTCCTGGCTCCCTCCAAGCACTGACAGGCACCAGCTGCTCCGGCTTTCCGAGCTCCATCCCTCCCTAAATCCCCTCCTGGCTCCCCTGGGGCCTCCTTTCCTTCCAGACACCGGGACTCTGCCTCACGTTTGTGCTGCTGGAGAAGGGTTTTGGGACCGTGGAAGCACAGAGGTGGCTGCAGCCACTTCAGGGGCTCTTTTCCTCTTCCATTCTAACCGCTGACTTCTCTTTCCTCCCCCAAGGGTGCTCCTGCAGTCTGGGCCTGATTTATACCCCTAAACCCTGCACGATGCCCCCCATCACGTTCCAGGACCTGCCGCTCAACATCTACATGGTCATTTTCGGCACCGGCATCTTCGTCTTCGTGCTCAGCCTCATTTTCTGCTGCTACTTCATCAGGTGAGCCGGGCACCCCCCTCGGGGCCATCCCAGCCCCGTAGGTGCCTCCGCCTTGCCCTTCCCCGTGCCCCATTGTTCTGCCCCACACCCCAGGAGCTTTTTGCCACGGGGATCTGACCCCGCAGCGGGGCCAGGCACGCCTGCAGCCCCCGTGGTCCCCGCGGTGGAGCAGGGCAGGAAGCGCAGGAAGGGGCTCCTGTTTTCCAGGGGACGTTTCGGAGGGCTGCATTGTGTCGGGCAGGGGGAGGAGCGGCGCTGCACGGCAGAGGATGTCTTTACATTGCCCTCCCTGCTCAGCCAGGGCTATTTTTAAACTCGGAGGCAGCAGCTGGCCTTTCTGCGGGCCTCCAGCCCTTCTCTGCGGGATGCCCCAGCTCTCTGCTGCCAGCCCCAGCATCTCTCAGCCTCTCAGGGGCTGCAGAAGGACATTTCGGGGCTTGGCGTGGAGGAGAAGCGAAGGCAGTGAGGTCCCCTGCCCCCTGTGCCTTGCTGGGGCTCTCTCCGAGGGAGCTTTCCCCGGCGCCCTCGCCTCGGCCAAGGTCGTGGCGGGGCTGGGAGCTGCCGGCGGGCGAGCTGGAAATCGAGCGCTTCCTGCGCCACCAACGACTTCCTAAGGCAAACAATCGGGGCCGCCGGCTCTTATCGCTCCCTGCTGCCGATTCCTGACGGCTCCCCAGCACTGCTCGGCCCTAAATCCCATCCCCGGGCCGGGCAGGGCCACGCTGCCCTGGTGCCTCCTGAAATTTCGGGGTTGTGCTGCTCCCAGGTGGCTCTTGAGGGTGTTGTAAAGCTCACGGTGCCTTTTTCTCCCCCCTTCTCCAGCAAACTGCGGCACCAGGCTCAGAGCGAGAGGTTCGGGTACAAGGAGGTAAAGTCACGGCTGTTTCCTACACGCACACATCGATTTGGGGCCAAGCGGGAGGCGGGGGTGCAGCAGGGACCGATGCTTCTCGTCCCCAGCTGACCTGAGATATTCAAAGGCAGCGTGATGGGACACTGCTGCTGTGCCTGAGCTCAACCTGCCCTTTCCTGGCTCATTTTGGATCCCACTGGCAAAATCCCGATGGGATCCAGGCCTGGACATGCGGTCGCTGCCTGTCCAGCCTGGATTTTTGCCAGCTCAGTGCTTGTTTGCAGTGAATCCCACTGCCCAGCTGCTCCTGATCCTGATCCTGTCTCCTTTTCTCCCACAGGTGGTTTTGAAAGGCGATGCCCGGAGGCTGAACGTGCACGGGGTGAGCGCAGAAACCCCTCTGGGGCTGACAGGGATGGTGCTTTGGGTCCCCATTGCTCCACGAGGCAGGACAGGGACGTGCCAGCACCGCATGAAACTGGTTGGAAATTGGGGAGGGAAACTCCCCGCCAGAAATTCCTGGGAAGAGACCCCACCACCCAGGGCTTTCCCTGGCCACAGCATCACAGCAGGAGCGGGGCTGTGCGTGGGCATTTTATAGGGTCCTGTGCGTTCACACCATCCCTAACCCCACTCTCATCTCCCGCAGCAGACCTGTGCCGTCTGCCTGGAGGATTTCAAGGCGAAGGAGGAGCTGGGGGTGCTGCCGTGCCAGCACGCCTTCCACCGAAAGTGAGTACGGCACAGCGGGGAGCGGGGATTTCCTCCCCACGGGGGTTTTTCAGCCTCACATTTCCCCCCCTCCACACCCTGCAGGTGCCTGGTGAAGTGGCTGGAGGTGCGCTGCGTGTGCCCCATGTGCAACAAGCCCATGGCGGGGCCGGCACAGCCCCGCGCCGGCATCGGGACGCTGCTGGACGAGCTGGTGTGAGCGGCCCCGTGTCCCTGGGGGGGGACGAACGCTTCGTCTCGGAGGATTCGGGATTTCGGAGCTGGGGTTTTTAACTCGTGGGGGCGCTGCGTTGGTTTGGGGGGCGGTTTTTATGCTGCATCCAGCTCTCTGCCAGGACCCCCTGGGCTTGCTGACGGAAGGCAGAGCCCAGGGCACGGGCAGGGCTGTGCCCCCGCTGCTCCCTGTGTGGGGGTGTTTCTGTAGCTGCCCCTTCTGGACTTTGAGGCTCCCGTTTTGGGGAGAGATTGTGCGGTTTTGTGTAACGCCACGATTAAAAGGACAGTTTCTCAGCCGGTTGTGGGCACTCGGGGGGGTTCCGGGATTACTTTGGGGTGGCGGAGGGAAGCGCTCCGGAAGATCACGATTCGTAACAACCTCAAAACAGTCTCTGATCTTCAACAAAAACGTCTTCAAGTGACGCCATCGGTGACGCCAGCGACCCCCCGGCGCTCAGAAGGGACTGTGCCACGTCGTAACGCAGGGCGCACACGTCACGCAGCCGCGTGCCGCTCCCATTCATCATGCGCTATGAACCGGAAGGATCGGGCCCTGCTCTGCCGCGCCCCATCCCAAGGCCGCGCCACTGATCCCTAGAACAGGGCGAGCTGCGATAGCCCAAACTTTCCACCCTTTTTGAATTCATTCCGATGTTCACCACAGCTCTGCGCTCGCTGCTTCTCGTTTTGAGCCTTTTTGGGGCCAAAAAACACCCCGTTTTTTGCCTTATTACCCATGCTAATTTATTCACATGTGGCCACGCCCACTCGCTCCCGCCTTTACGACAGTTGTGGTTTTGCAACGGCTGCGAGCTCGGCGGCGGCGGCGCGCTTTACGGCGGCGGGTTGTGTGTGAGGGGAGCGCTGAGGGGCGTCGCGGCTTCTCCCTCCCGGGGGCGCCTTAAAAGGTTTATGGGAACCTTAAAAGGTTTTGGAGGGGTCTTAAAGGATTTGGGGAGCGCTTAAAGGGCTCGGGGAGCCAGGGAAGGGGTCATGGAGCTCGCCGGCTTCGTGCAGCCCCCTCAGGTACCCGGGGAGCGGCCGCCCCCAGCCCCGCCGCCGGCCGAGCGGGCGCTGCCCCAGCCCCGGCCGCTCACCCCTGAGGGTCCCGGGGCGCTCAGCGAGCTGGGGGCGCTCCTGGAGGCCTCGGGCAGCCGCCGGCTCTTCGGGGACGTGAGCCCCGGCACGCTGGGCGAGCTGGTGGCCTCGCTGAGCCGCTTCGCGGCGCCTCCCGAGCAGCAGCAGGAGGCCGCCGAGCTGCCCGCCAAGGACAGCGCCTACGAGGCCGTCGCTGAGCGAGCAGTGGAGGTGGGCGCTGTGCTCCTGCGCCTCCTCGCCAAGCTGGAGGCTGCCAGGACTGAAGAGACTCCGGGTGAGCCCGTGGTGGGAGTAATCCTGCGCCGTGTGGCAGCGCCCATCTATATCTTCGCTGTGACACACGTCGTGGACCAGCCCTGGACAAATGCAAGGTCTCGGGTGGTGGCCAGGGAGCTGCTGGAGTCGCTGGTTCAGGCTGCAGGCTGCGGGTCGGTGGCGGAATTCCTGCGGGGGAAGAAGGAGGACGAGGAGGGGAGATTCGCGGCCGTGATGGGGCTGCTGAAACAGGAGCTGACCAAGTGAGTAAGGAGGGGAGGGCTGCAGCGGAGAGGGTGGCGTGTTTGGCCGGTCTCCACGGAGGAAATACTGGGAGCTTTGGGGAATTGTGCTGGTGCAGCTGTGAGTGCACGTGGTAGGAGCACTAGGTGATAAACATGGGACCAAGAACTTGACAAGCACCCCGATAATGGGGCAAGAGGAAGGGAAATCCTGTACCGAGAGGGACAAATTACAAGAAATGAGAGCTCTGCAGTTCCAGCATTCACTGAGTTTGTGCTTCTAGAGACACGTGGAAGCGTAACCCTGCCACGAAGCACGTCTTCTCCTGGACGCTGCCTCACGTCACGCGGCCCTGGCTCAGCCACTACCTGGAGAGCGTCCTCCCCCCGTCGCTGCTCATCTCGGATGATTACCGTGAGGAGAACAAGATCCTGGGCGTGCGCTGCCTGCATCACCTTGTCCTCAATGTGGTAAGGGGCTGGGGAGCTACATCCCTCTGTGGGCGTTGTTTGAAGGAAGGGGGTTGAGTGCCTGTTGGATTTCTGAACTTTTCTTTCTGGTTCTTGTATTAACCTTGGGATTTTGCCCTGTGCTTAATAGCATGAGGCACGGGAATGATGTTTCTCTCTCTCTTGTTGCAGCCAGGTGCTGATCTGTGCCAGTACAACAGGGCTCAGGTCGTGTACCACGCCCTCTACAACCACCTCTACTCACGAGAGGCCCCTCTCCTCCAGGTAGGGCAGCAGAACTGAATTTTTAGCAGCCTCGCAGTGCTGTGGATCAATCCTACATGGGGGCTGCAGGCAGTAGCAATCTGCCAGGTGAACTGGGGGGCCTGGGAGCTGCTGTGAAGGGACTTTTGGGGGATCACCCAGGCGTCCTATCCCACCCCAGGCAGTGCTGCTGTGCCTGCTGGACTTGCTGCCCGTCCTGGAGCGAGCTCAGCACCGGCAGCAGCAGCATCCCAGAGCTCCCAGCCACTCTGATGAGGTGCTGCAGCTGCTGCTGACCCACATGGAGGCCGAGCATCGCCTGGCGCTGCGGCGCCTGTACGCCAGGAGCCTGCCTGCCTTCGTGCAGAGGTGAGAACGGCCCCCAAAACCCACAGGGATGTGCTTTAGCCCTGGGGTGTGTCCCCTCCCTCAGTTTGTGCTTCGTGGCGGCAGGCTGGGCATCCTGGTGGTGCGGCACCTGAAGAGGCTGCAGCGAGTCATCGTGGGCTACCTGGAAGTCTGCGATGGCCCCGAGGAGGAAGCCAGGCTGGGAATCCTGCAGACGCTGAGGTGCACCATAGAGCACGCCTGGCCCAGGTGCTGCTCTGGGGGTGAAAGATCCTTAAGGAAGCTTATCCTAAATGTTATGTCTCTTCCAGAGCCAAAGTTAGGGTTGTTTGAGGAAAGGGCCCCAAAACCTCTTAGGAAACAATTGTTAGCATTGCTGCTTTCCTGGGAAAACCTTGCCCAAAAGTTAAGCTGGGCCCTCGTGCTTCTAGAACAGGAAAAAATCAGGTGAAAATAACTTTGGCTACGAGCTGAATCTACATTCATGCACGGCAAAGCTGCATAATAAGCTCCATGCTGCTAATTAGGGCCCTGTGCTGGCAGTTCTCATTACTCCACCTGTTTCCCTCCCAGCCCAGCTGCAGTTTAGCTTCACACATCACTGGCTGGTACTGGCTGTGCTTTACCCGGCTCACAAAGAGCATTTCCAATAAGCTGCACGTTCTTGATTCCCTTCTCAGGATGCCCTGCAGGCTCCCTGAGCTCCTCCAGGCCCTGCTGAGGATGATGTGGGATGTCCACACCGACCAAGGCCCGACGCCGGAGCCGGTGAAAGCTGCCCTGCTCCAGGGGGCCACCGAGTGCCTCATCCTGCTGGATCGCTGCTCTGTGGGGCAGGTGAAGGTGAGCTGGGGACCTCCTGCTCCATTTCTGCTCTCTGCCCCCTTAAAGGAAGCGGCAGCACACTACGTGCAGGAGCCTGCTTCAGTAAAACAAGATTTCCAAAGATTTCCACCCAACCCGGGGTTAGAATCTGACCTAACTGATGGGTTAGTGACCTAACTTCTGTTCCAGATCCTGCTGGAGGGCGTCTACAGCAGCTGCGAGGAGAGCTGCGTGCGGGACTGCCTCAGGAAAGTGCGAGAGAACACGTGAGGAGGCACGGCTGATCCACTGCTCGCCGGTTTTGTACAGTAAAATATTTATTTTTAAGTTGCCTTTCACATCTCTGCCCCGTTAGCCTCATACCTGCCCTGAATGAGGTTGGGTTGTGTCTCTCCGAGCTGCCTGTGGGTCGCAGCAGCGGTGTTCTGAGGCCAGGTTCTTTCCTGGAGCACCCTGAGCTGAGCCTCCTGTGGTTTTGGGGAGCCTTCTTCCTAAAAATTGCACTTTGTGCAGAGCTGTCCAAAGTTATTGCAACTGCCTGGGGTCAGGACAGAAACCCGGACATCCTGAAACCCTCCTTTCCTTTAAAAAAAAGAAAGTTTTTACTCTAGAAAATTGGAGAAGTAACTTCTGATGGTGCTCAGAGGGGTGAAGCTGGAGCAGATCCAGAGGACAGATGTGGGGTGTGCTGCTGTTCAGTAAAAAAATACCAGTCCGGGAGGCAGTCAGGAGGCTTTACTCTTGGCGGCTGGCTCTGTTTCCTTTTCATACTCGATTTCCAGGTGGGGACGTTTTCTTCTAGTTGGCCCTTTCAGGGGAGTTTTCCCTTTGGATTTGGAGTGCACTTTCTTCTCTGTTTCTTCCTCTTCTTCCTGCTCCTCTTCGCTACTCGTCTCCAACTTATCCATGTCCTGAGAAAGGAAGAGATGTGTGTGTAGTTCCAAAACCTTCACTTTCTGCAGAATTACCCAATCCCACTTCCTAATTCCTGGTCCCAGCCAGAGGGCCAGGGGTGCAGCAGAGCAGCCTGACTGTCTTGTGCTCTTCAAACCCGCTTCCACCAGCTCTGATCCATCACCAGGGACACCAGGCTGGTGGAGCTCACTTCCAAACAGCTCACACCTGATGTTTTATTTACCTCAAAGTCACTGATGTCGCTGTCATCTGCTTCCACGAACTCTCTTTCATCTGTTTCCTGTAAGAAACGAAGCCGGGAGCTCATCACAGCCCTCACCAGCAGGGAAAGATCGAGCGTGGCGCTGCGGGGGAAGCGTTACCCTTACCTCCTTGTCTTCGTCTTCTTCCTCTTCCTTTTCCACATCGGACTCGCTCTCACTTCCTTCGTCTTGCTGCTGCAGAGCTTTGTCGAAGGCGTGGATGGGGAAGTTGTAAATGTCCCCGTACTGAAAAGGAAAACGTTCGGTGAGGTGCTGAGGGGAAACAGCCCACAGTGCTGGGGTCGTCTGAGGCCTGCATCAAGCCAGGCTCAACTGGATGTTCCCCCCTTCCTAATTCTGAAACATGAGCTTCATAGAAAAGACAATTTCCTATTCTAAAACAACAAATTCACATTTCAGGGGCTCTGCCTTTTGGGGAACAAGTTCTCCAGGCTGCTCCGAACCCACTCGGCAGTCACCCCCTGCCTTCCCTTCGTACCAACCCGCGCCCCCTCCCCACAGAAGCAGCGGGACAGAGGGCAGTGGCAGCACTTTTCCCGCTGTGCTCTGACGGGGGTGATCCTTACCGTGTCCTGCTTCAGCCTCTCCAGCAATTCCTTCTCAATGGCATTGTCCAGCTGAGCGGCGATCAGGGCTTTCTCCTACCAGAGCAAAGAGACCTCGTGTCAGCACACTCAGAGACACGAGAAAAGAAGCAACAAGAGGAGATCACAGGGAACAGCCACGTTACCTCTCTTCTTTTCTCTCGCCTTTCAATCTTCCTGCTTAAGGGAACGATTTTCCTCCTGCAGGGAACAAGAAAAATTAGGGAATCCTTCAGCCTCCTCTGTAGCAGATGAAAAAATGCTCACTCAGGGCAAAAACCACCGGCTGCATCCTCCGAAATGGGGCTGTTCTAGCTCAGGTGCACCTATCGAGGCACCTCACACCACAATTACATCGCTTTTAACTGGGTTTCTTTACAAGCCTGCCAAAACCTGCACCCTGCAGGAAAACAGCGAGTGCCTGGAGGGGCACTAGAGCCAGGGAAGGGCTCTGCAGGCAGCAAACCAAGGCGGGGGCTCGCTCGTAGTGGCGCTTACTGTCGCTTCAGCGTCAGCTTGCGGATGCGGATGAGGTACTGCGTTATCTTGGTGAAGCGCTGCTTGCATTTGTGCCGGATGAAGCGGGGCCAGTAGATGAGATTCTCGTCTATCTCCTCCAGGGCTTTCTCATAGTTCTTGCTCAGCAGGACCTGGGAGGGGGGGAAAAAAGGATTAGGGTTGAAATCTGGAGCAGCAACACCCCAGGAACACCTCTGTGCTTGGGAGGAGGTCAGAGCAGATGCGGGCAGCAGCCTGCTCACAGCTCACCCGCTCCCACAGTCGGCTGGGAAAAGGCGCCCGCTCGATTGTCTTCATGTAGAGGTAACAGCGGCCTGGAGGGAAGAGGAGAGGAGCAAGGTGACCCCACAGAGGCACCAAAGCCCCATTTACATGGGGGGGGGGGACAGAGCCGGGCGCTCACCTTTCTCCTCCCTGACTGTGGCGTACTGGCTGTTGGCCAGCGGGCAGGAGGAGCGGTTGCAGAGCCCGGTCAGGTTGTACTCATTGCGGCAGAAGCCCTGCGTCTTCGTCCTGCAAGTGACGAGGGAAACGCAGCTCGCAGGGAGCGCGCTGGCAGCTGGGGGCACCCAAATTCCCAAATTTGCCCTCCCTCCCCCCCCCGGAGCACATCATCCCATAGACTCACCTGATCTTGTAGGAGCAGAACTGCTTGTTCCCCAGCGTGTCCCAGACAACCTGCGGGGACAAAACCCCAATGAGGGACCCCCCAGCACCCTGCACCCCCCGACCCCATTACCAACCCTATTACCGACCCCTCCCCAAATCCCTCTTTCCCCCAGCCAGGCTGTAACACAGCACCCCCCAACCTAATGGGGCAGGGAGAGGACACGCAGGGCCACCCCCTGGCTGCCCCCAAATTCCCCTTCACCCCCCAGCCCCAGCCCCATTCCCGTTAATCCCGGCCCCCCCCTCCCCAAAATCTGCCCCCAGCCGCCCCCACGTGGCTGGAATGGGGGGGGGGGGGGGGGGGGGGGGCGCTGCCCCGGCCCAGCGGCGGGGCGGGCGCTGATTGGCTGCGACGCGGCTGCCTGGCGGCGCCGGACGGAACCGAAGCAGGCGGCGGACGGGACCGAAGCAGGCGGCGGACTCACATCGTCCGAGTGCATGCTGCCGGCTCCGCGGCCGCGCGGCCATTACCGGAAGGGGCGGAGCCAGCAAAGTCTCGCGAGAGCGGCGAGGCGGTTGCCATGGCAACGAGGGGGTGTCATGGCGGTGGGTTGCCATGGTGACGGGGTCGGGGTGATACAAAATGGCGGCTGGCGCTGCTGAGGGCGAGGGATTTCCTTTGGGTTTTGGCGAGGCAGGGAAGCAGGTGGAAGATAAAAATAGCCGTGTTGATTTGGGGCAGGCTTAGCCTTAGTCATTTCCAGTCAGCCTAAGAAATAAAACTTCATCCCATACGTGCAGGGCGAGGGTTTCACGTTCTCTACACAGGGTTCCCTGATAATAGCCTTGTGACCTTTGGTAATGAGTCATGAGGTACCAAATGATGATTAATTTTAATTATTATTATCCTGTTTCCCCCTGGCAAAAGCATTGTGCTGCTGGGGCTCTAGAGCAGAGATAACTGTTCTTTTTTGGCAAGTGGAGTCACCTTCCATAAACACCTGCTCCTTCAACGCAGAAATGAGTTCATAAACTGCCAGCTGTGGAGCTGGAGAAGTTAAAAGTTTTGAGATTTCACTGAGAAAAAAAAAATAATAAAAAAAAATCACGTGAATTCCTTTGACAGGTTTATAATTATTTGGTGACTTTTATAACCTAATTCTCCCTCTTTACATCACTTCCGTATTAAAGATAATTTATTACACTTCATTTAGTATTGTAAACAGTGCAGCTGCTCTCTTTCTAAACTCAGGGCCAGGAAATTGAAAAATGGCAATTAAATCAACCTACTGTACTGCTTATTGCAGTGGCTTGGGGTCACAGACAGCCTGTTACCCCATCTCCACTAAAGGCTGAGATTTAAAAGTGTTCTGTTAGTCACTCGTACAAGTGAGCTAAGTAGCTTTGTTGAATCTTTGTCTGATTTTAAAACTGCTTTCAGCCTTATTTCTACTTGAGTTTCTTAAAGGCTTCTTAAAGTTCATGAATAGTAGAAGGGATGCACAAGAAGCCATAAACACCACATAAATGGGAAAAAACATAAAGCTATACCGAGACAACAATGAACTTCTTTTTTAGCTGTCTTCAGACGAGCACAGAGCACATAAACAGTACAAAGATATCTTTATTGGCAGACTGGCAGTGACACAGGTGAAAGAAATGTTGCTAATTATTTCATTTCATTTCATTTTTCTCTGGTGCTTTTCTTTCAAGAGCAGTAAGGACTTTAAAGACATTAGCCAATGCCACTGGACTCATCAGGGAGAGGTTTTGGTCTTATCCCTTACTACGTGGGCAGACTGTGCCCAGGACAGTGTTGTTTTGCAGGACAGGATGATGCAGTTCTTTTCATCCTCCTAACTTTTTTACAGATAAGATGTGATTTGGGTGACTTGCCTGGAAATCACACAGCAAAGGAGCAGCACAGCTAAACAGACAGAGCCTCCAAATCCTGGGTCCCTGGCCCCTGATGTGGGCTGCATGGCCTGGAGGATGGAGAACAACACAGCCCACATTCATCCTGTGTCACTAGTCTTGGGCATTCGGGGTTATTCTTGGGTGCAATCACATCCACAGCTCTGTAAACTTAAGCTTCAAACAGGACACGCATCCTTGCTGCTGCTATTCCTCATTTTCTGCCTCCACGTCACTGTCATCTGTGAGAGGGAAGTCTCGCAGGGGCTTCTGAGTGGTATAGCTTTTGGTTTGCATGGGGCATTCCTGGTTTAGGATGGCCTGGATGAAGGAGAGAAGTCATGCTTCAGTGAGAATGGTGATTAATAATAAATGGGAGCATCACCGCTTTTAGAGAAAGCCAAAGCAGCCAACGTTTGCCCAGGGAACACAAGCTGTGAGTTAGAAGGACCATAGCTCCAAACGTTTCTGGTTTTGTTGTCTGATTGTTCTGTCCCTTCGCTAAGGGCACAGTAGAGCCCAAAAGGGAAGACACAGACCCTGCCAAATTCATTCTGATCTGCCATGAGCCTCTGGATTATCCAGCCTCTATGCTTTAAGGGAATAAACCAAACTTAAACTCACGATCTTCTCCTCCCTAGCGGGAGGGCTGCGCAAGTACCAGCAGAGAGGGGCATAGGCAATGTTGAGAACTCCGATGATGACCATCAGCCAGGGAAACCCCACAGCTCTCACAATCGCACCGCCTGTGGATGGACCTGCATGTTTAAAAAGTAAAAAAAAAAAAAAAGCTCAGATGACAAAAAAAGAGCAAAATTTGCCTCTCTGGTTTGGAGGGGATCTGTTACTGTGGCAGACTCAGTTGCTGCCAGCGAACAGGGGGTGGAGAGAGGGTGGTAAATGGGGTGAAGGTGCTCGAATTGGGCCATACCAATCGCAAAGCCCATGCAGAAGGCGACGTCGGCTATGGCGTAGACATTGCCGTAGACCGAGGTGTGGCGAAGGTCCACGAGGTAGCCCATGAGAGGCATCATGGAGGAATCCACCATTCCTGCCCAAAGCAAGGACAGCCTCGGCAGTCATCGCCTCCTCCGGGCTGCCTTTGAATCCCGAACGCTGGCAGCTTACCTATGGCAAAGCCCAGCCCGCCGTTGGGTCCGATCAGCCCGTAAATGCTTTTGGCCAGAGGCACCTTGGAGAAGAAAGAGAGAAGGCGTGAATGGGGCCAGAAGGGCTCTGAGGGGAGGGAAACGCACCCACGGGTGCATGCTCTGAATGTCTGGTTGCAGATTTGGGGCTTTGCTGTCCCCTCCCTGTGGAGGGGATTGTCCATGCGCTCACCCACACACCCCTGCTGATTCTTCCACAGAATATTCTTAGAATTTTCTTGTGCTACTCACACAAAGGAGACTGATCCCCACCACAGCCATGCCGATCAGGGAGCACAGCCACCTGCAAGGAGGCCACAGTTAGCACAAGGTGATGCTCTCGGTGTCGCAGCACCACGAACAGAGTCCGTGCCAACACAGGGCCAGGCCGAAATCTCCACCTTCCACTTACCGGCCCATTTTGTTAGCCAGGACCCCAAAGAGGTTGGTGCCGATGAGGTAGGATATGCTGGCAGGAAGGAAGGCCATCCCTGGGAGAGAGAAGGAATAAAAAAGAGCGTGTAATCCTCCAGGAAGTACAGGGAATTGGCGAGAATTTGCAAAAGCTTTCCCTTCACTGACTGCCTCTCTCATTTGGGGAACCAGCAGCAAAATCAGGACTGTTCAGCCCCACTGCTTTCAACCTCCTCTCCTGTCAGATCTCTTTCCTCTTCCACCTCTCTCTCCCTGCTTTTGGCTCACCAAATACAGCGGAATAAAACTGCTTTAAGCGTAAAGCTCAGTGCTCATCATGTAGCCAAATGTAAATATTTGAACGGCGTGCTGATTTACCCGTTGTTTATTTTTAATATACTCTCCTGCCGAGTGGAAATAAAACCAACCAGCTGTATTTCACTAAGACAACTTCCTTATGGAAACACCCAGATTTAGGTTTAATTTTCTTTCCCCTCTTTAACAGGACACAGTGAAACCTCTCACCCCAAAGATTCCCCTCGAGCTCAGCTCAGCCCTGGGACGCTGCTCTGCCCTCGCCCACCCTTGCCCCCTCACTTGCCCAGGCGAAGCATCCCGAGCTCTTATTGGGATGGATGCTCCTGCCTGAGCGGAGAATAACTCGATTAGGGGCTTTCTCAGCCCTGCTGCTCCCAGGCTGCAATTCAATTTGGGATCTAAGTGTAGCCTGGGGCATCCCCCAGGTCATTCCCCAGCCAGTTGGGTTTTATAACAATCCGTTTTTATTTTTGCAGCAAAGACAGACAATGCTATCTCCAGATCACATTTTCGAGGCAGCTGGTAATTCGCATGTACCATCCTGCCCTCTGTGGGATTCTCAAAATGGCCTTGTTTTACTCAGAGCTGCCTCTGCAAAACCCATCTGGCTGCCATGACTCCAGCCCAGCATGGCACAATTCTCTGCCCTGCAGAAGAGAGGATTCAACAGGCTTCATGTGCACGAAACTGCCTTTCTTCTGCTGTTATTGCTGTTGTGGGGAGCCCGATTCTATACAATTTTTTCAATAATAGGGAAAAGCACATTGTGCAGCTACCGCTAAGGACACTTCCAGCTGAAATTGGAGCAGCGCACAGCCTGGTGTCGCTCACTCCGTGCAGCTGAGGGTGTATGTTGGCTTCTCTTTAAAATGATATAAGAGATTACGGCGTCCATCTCGCCGTGCAAAATGATACAGGAGATTATTCAAGCCGTCTGGCGGTGCCAAAGCCGGAGCTGCTCTAGCTGAACTCGACTGAGCAGCCGTCAAGGAGCGAGGCCGGCAAAGCGAGGCGCCTACCGAGCTGCCATTTCGGGGAGCACATGGTTTGCATCATCCAGATGGGCAGGGTGGGTTCCAGCATGGCCACCCCCATGTTGGAGAAGCAGAGGGCTCCTGGTGGGGAGAAAAAGGAGAAAGGCTCTGCCTCGGGCTGCTCCTGCTGCTGATCTGGGGCAGGCAGGAGCCGACTGGGGAGATTTGGGTGCGGAGAGACCTTACCTGCAGCCACCAGGATGTAGGGGTCCCGCAGCAGGGTGAGCACCGGCGTGCCCTGGGTGCTCTGGTGGAGATGGAGGGGTCACGGGTGCCGTGGGCAGGGGGGACACGAGCTGCCCTCCCACCTATGTGGCTCACAGTGCCTTTCCCCTCTCCTCTTAGGAGGGAGGAAAGCGTACTCACCTCGGGGGAGATCTTGGAGGGCTGCAGGATGCAAAGCTGCAAAGCTGGGAAGAAAACGCTGCTGTTAGGCTAGTTTTGAGGGTGGCAGCACTTCAGGCCATGTCTCCCGCTGGGTTTTCAGCAGCAGAGCCCCCAGGGATGAGGGAGCTGTGCCCGCAGGACACCATGGGGGGAGCTGGGTGCCAGCGCTGCCCCTGGGGGAGCACAGCAAAGCTCCCGTCAGCTGAAATAGGAGCAGGAGCCAGCCAGCGTGCTCCAAGTGGTTTATCCGGGCACAAAACAGATCTGGAAATGCTCGCTGTCGGGCTCGGAGCTGCCCACCATCGAGCCATAAATGGAGCATGGCAGAAATTAGACGTGGAAAA